AAATTAGTTGTATCTCTTTTTTTTTAAATTCCCTTCCATCTTTTGCAAATACCGTATCAGTGTCTCAATATTTTCGATAACTGCAATGACATCTGAAAGAATTATGTTAAAATTTTTTTTTTTCTATGATTTCAACGTTTTTAATTTTTCCTATTTCTTACTTATGATTGTTTGATTTTCCAGATTTAAAATCTTTTCAATTTTTGTATACATTGTTTCATCTAATTCAGTGTCTTGATTTTATTCTTGACACTCTTCTCTTATTCTGAAATAATCATTCATTAATTTTTCCTATAATTTTTTTATTTTATTTATTAATATCATTAAATAGATTTATATATATACTTTATCGCTTCGGGAATGCCTGGATTTATCGATATTCTAGATGAATTGATTATACATGTGTTAATCCATTTCAATAATAGCTGGTAAATTTTTAGTAATAATTAGTTTCATTTACTTCAAATTGATCGTAAAATTTTTCAACCATGATGGGGCCAAATGCCACGCATCAAATTTCAGCACTTTCATCAGTTAAATCTACATTGAATACTTTACTCTCCCCTTTGGCATTTCTAAATATTCTGACGTTGGATTTATTTGTAACTCGCCCTTTAACTTTCCATCTAAATACCCAAAATTGGAGTTCAATGTAATTAAAGATTTAATAAACAATTTAATAAGTAAAATCAAACATTTTTTTATTTTTTATTTTTTTGTTCTTCGATATCGTTAAAATCATGACTTCTCTTCATTTTAAATATTTTTATTATATTTGTATTTTTTATTATACTCGTAGTGGCTTATTAACAAACAGTTTCCATAGAAACATAATAATTATAAAATATACATTAAAATATATACATGAAGTCGTCTCGACCTGGTGACCGAGAAAGACATCGAGTGGGGTTTTCATGTTGGTTCTGACCTTCCTCAGATGTAGCTGAATATCTATGTTGAATTTCAAGTCAATCAGTCTGGTAGTTTTCGAGATCATAAGGATAATAGAAACCGCCACTTAATTATATATATATATAATTAATGTAAAGTATAGACTATAGGGGCCAGGGGGTGTGAGGGGCAGAGACCCCACTTAATTATTATAAAAATGCTAGAGCTAAAGCCCCCCTCCCTAACTGTAAAGTATAGTTACGCCTATGAGTAAGTCTTTCGATATTTATATTTTATAAGTACCTTTTGTGTATTAATAAAAACGTATAAATGTATATCTGTCTTTCCTGAAGCTCTCTAGTTAGGTACTGTTAAAATATAATTCAAAGGCCTCTGAAAACCCTCACCAAATTATCTAAATATAAAAGGTTTCCCAACTTAATATTTTACCAATATTTTTTCTGAAATATAACATATTACATAGGTATTACCTATATTTAAATTAGAAATTTTGTCTTCACCAAATATTAAACCTTAAGTAGGAAGGTAACATACTAACTTATTGTAAGTTAAATATAATAGTACAATTTTGGTAACACATTCTATGTTACGATGTAAAAAAGTTATTATCATTTAAGGCAACATGGGTAGTGAAACTGGAGATTAAATTACTATGATATATTGATATAGATTTTAAAAAACAACAGAGTTACAAATAAAATTAGCAATATTAAAATGATTTACATTTTGCATGATTATAATAAAAAGTTTTTACCGTATAAAGTATGCTGGAATTATGACACATAAACATTAAACAGTGTCGTCTCATCTTGTATTCTAGTCGTATGACTAGGAAATTAAAATGTTAATGTCAATAACAGATCTAAACAGTAAATAAAGCAATTCAAATATTCAATAACTTGTAAATAAAAATAATATCCTGTTATTCTTTTAACTTGTAGGGCAGAGGTTCCTAACCTTTTTCGGCTCACTTTTTCTAAAAATCCGGAGGCACCCTATGACTACTTCGATTTTATTTAGTACCCAGTGCATATTAAGTACTTATAAACAAAAGTATTAAGACGTAGCTATATAGTATATACATTATACAAATATTATATTTTACAAAACAAATTCTACATTGGACATATGAATTTTCAGTTTCATTGATTTAAATATTTAATGAAATAAATTTCCTCAAAATAATAAATGAACTGCATAAGATAAAATATATACCAGTGTTCAATTAATTTAACATGCTTTTTTCATAAGTTAAATGAAGTTTTTTTTAGTGATTCTAATTTCTAACATAAGTTGAAATTCGGTGGAGGCTGATGCAGGGGCGGATCCAAAAATTCATCAAGGGGGGGGGGAATAAAAATATATCCATCAGATACTATTCATACCTACTTAATAACATACTTATTAATATAAAAATTAACTACTTATTATTTCCTTATTAATATTCACCATNAATAAAAATATATCCATCAGATACTATTCATACCTACTTAATAATATGCTTATTAATATAAACATTAATTACTTATTATTTCCTTATTAATATTCACCATTTAGAATTTATTCTTACAAACTGGTATCAATGACAACATTTTTATAAAATAAACGAAAAAATTCAACCAACATTTTTTTTTTTAAATAAATTTATAAAATTTAAGTATAATAAGCTCAAGGGGGGGGGGATATTTACCCTTTTACACCTCCCTTGGATCCGCCACTGGGCTGATGAGGTGTAAGGAAGCTACTCTCCTTCAAAACGTACAAACAGAGAAATTAGCAAACACAAACATACACTCAGTTTGTCACTAGTCACTATTACATAAATAACAAATACATAGGTAGTAACTTTGAATTAAAATATATTTGGAGAGCAAATAAAAATAAGCACAATTGTCCATTATACCAAAAAAATCTGTGATTAATACTGCTTTCATTTATCTATCTTTCTTATCTCTTCAAAGTAATAGATTAAAAATGCAAATATAATACACATGCATATTACAATGAACTCGTATGTCATATATGTATGATTTAGGATCTCTGAAATAAATGACACTTGGGTTTTTCGTGGTGTTAAAACTAAAATGATTTTTGCAAGCCTCTGAGAGTGACTTTCATATGCAATTAATGTATTAATGTATTTTTCAATATCATCCCCTTGCTCCTCTGCTTCTGCTCCCATTTCAAATTATATCTCATTTTCGTCTATGGATTTTAGCAGTTGTGTACTCTTGTTTAGTATTTTAATTTTTTTTTTTTCTTTATTTTTAATTTTTTTTCGCTAATCGGCTTTTATTACAATATCAATATAATTGTTTTAACAAAACAAAATGTTAAGGATTTATAATTAATGTATATGTTAAAAATTAGAATAAAGACGATAAGTGTGTCTATAAGTACAAAATTAATGCAGATAGTTATTAAATATTGACATAATTCTTGTTAGGGGTACATTTTTTTCAACATTTCTTCGGGCCTAGTATTGTATGTAAAAAATTCTTTATTTCGAGTATTACCAGGGATGCGAGTGTTGAGTTATTCCAGCTAACGAGGGGCATCGATGCTACCAACAATACCAATGCCTGATGAAAGCTACAGCTTGAAGCTAAATATAATTCGACGTTCAGTATTGTACGAATTTGTACCTAATATAATATTTTGTTCGAGCGATAGTGTGAAGAATGTTCGAATGTACATCTTATTTGTCGGGATATTGTATATCAATATTATCAATTAAAAATATTCCTAATGGCTAATAGAGAATATTTTATTGATTCTAGATACATTGAATGTATCTATTACATTGTACGACCTGACATGTTTTATAACAATCAAAGCAACTAACAATATTCTTTTTGGTAAAGCTGTGGTTCAAAAAAATACCGCACTTTTAATATGAAAATAATAATGCTCATATTTCAGTGGTAGCTCTGTTTGAACTTAGAATCGACTTTGTGTTTAATAGACATATTTTAGCTATTCTTCGTTACAGCCACTTTTTAATCGATAGATAGCGCTAAAATTACACTTCTATACATTTTATCATCTCTGTCCATATAAGTGAAATAATAAATTCTTCTTGAAGTATACTCAAGTTGTAAGTAACTGTCCTCATATGTGTCTACTGACCCAGAGTTCAGCTAAATCAGCGTACAAATGTCTATCGACATAGCCGTTCAACATGCATACCTACAGGCTACAGGTAGCAAAGTGAATTGTATAAAAGAATATTATAAAATTAATTGAGCCATTATACATCTACATGTATATGTATCTTTATATCTTTATCTATGTATTAAATATATATACTTACAATAATAATAATATGTTACTACATAAATATCAGTGTGTACATTTAAGGTTTCATTTCTTATTATAAAGCCAAGTTTTGTTTTCAACTTGGTTGTATTGTTAGATCTAAACTATAACCAATACATTAGTCATCAATTTACTATTTTTCATGACTACATACATAATTTTAATCTACATAATTAGTAAGCAACTTTTTCATTTATTTATTTGTATATTATATTCAATATTGCAATAAATTTTGCTTGGAATTTAATATCTATTTTAATAATACAAGTTAATCACTATTAAACTAAACTACTAATTAGATATAAAAATAAAAAACGTAGATATTGCTATAAATGTCTAAAAAAAATATTTTGTAATAAATGAGTTACTATATTAAATGAAAGTTAAGTAAAATCTATTAACTTACTATAGGTATTCATCTTCAGTTTGATAACAAACATTTTAATTGCAAATAATCAATAGGTAGAAATGTAAGGAAGATTAATGCAATTTTGTATATCAAGAAAAATGTTTGATTAAACGAAATGGAATTTGACACAAATCTAATGAAAATTCTAAAATAATACTTACTACAATTGCAATAACAACTTCATTTCCTCACATAAAATAATGACTATTTCAATTAAATTTGAAACAATTACTTACCTCCTTTTGGTTTCAGATAATCATTAAATAGGAACATTATTTTTACATTATTAGTGAATCAAATAAATTGTTAAAAGTATACCTTTATATATTTTAATAAAATTAAATCAAAAATGTGGGAAAATCTAAATAAATGTTTATTTTGTTGCCTATCTAGCACCTAGACACCTAGTGAGAATATTATATTCCATCACACAAAAAATGTTGGGTTTTGAACTGGTATATCATTATTCTCATGAAATCAATTTAATTTCCAAGGATGATTCTAATTGCTAACTAAATATAAGTATGATTTAAGCACATGCCTAGAATTTTTAGTACTAACTATGTAAGTTTATAAATACCTAGTAAATAAATATATATATATTATATATTGTATACATATTAATATATTATACATTATTATGGAATTAAGAAAATAAACTACAGAAAAACAGCGTTACATGGAAATATATTTGAATTTTAAATGAACGAAATACAAAATGTGTTATGCACATTATTATTAGGTAAAATATAAAATATAATATTAAGGTATGTGTAAAAATATCATTTGCTTGTTATTTCTGTCTACTCTTTGAACGTTTTCAGTATAATAGGTCTACAGTCGACAGATTAGGTACAATAACATTATGCATTATGGAAAACGTTTGATTTTTGCCCACTTTTATGGGCAACAATAAATAGTATTTAGTAGATTGTTATTGTATAATATTATGTAGATTGTTGATATATCATATAGGTAGGTATGCGTCCACGTGATGTATCTATGCCGCGTATTGTGCACTGGTATAAGTTTATTATTGCAGAAAAGCCTCATTAGATGATCGCTTTGTTGATTTGAGCAATCATCCACTGGAATAATAACAAAATAGCAGTGGACATCGAAACCGGCAGAGCAGACGCAATTATCCATTTCCAAACATTCGAACTGTAATGTGAATAAAACAAATTATTTAAATCACCTGCAGTATTTACAGACAACGCAGAAAACTTTATGAATTATGATTGATCGATGGTTCATTTCAGCCAATATTTTTCTTAAAAATACCAAACTACCAAACTATTTTTATTTTACAAACTAAAAAAATATACTCATGAAACATACATCTTAAAACAATTGACACTATTGAAATTGAATAAGCACATTATTTTATGTAAGATATTTAATTTAAAATTTAATTCATATAATATTTGATTTCTCATAGTATTTACTTGTATAACTTAATATAATTGTTGTTCATTATTAATTTTTGATGTTTTTTGTTTCTTATTAACTATTATATTTTATTTAATGCTAATATTTCTCTTATGTCATTAAATGTTTCTGTCATATAATTTCTTGGCTACCAACATGTACTTTCAATAAATAAAATAAATACCTAAATAATTTATTATTTTGAGTTTTTACCTATTTGAATCGTGGTTATCAGTTAATAATATTATATTATTTTGTACCTCGGTAATGTACCTATTTACCTATATATAATACTTAGATAACATTAAAAAAATATATATGACGAGGAATCTCCTTCACAATACTGGTAATAATCCTAAAATACCTGGTATCTATATCCGACATTTTCACTATTTACAGTTAAAATTAGAGAATTAAAGATCTATTTCGTAAAATGTATCTAAAAACAATTTATTTTTGTTATCGTAGACGTTTTGTATTTTAAAAATAAAAAAAAATGTTCAATTATACTATAGGTCAGTGGACAGTAGTCTTATTTATTAGTATATACTTCTCAAATCCGTAGTACATATTTCCAATTTCGGATTACACACTACTCTTATCAGTTCACTAAAAAATAGGGGCTGGTTCGTTTTTATACAAATTACATCAATAGATAATAATATTATATTGATAAATCTGTTGAATGTCAATACCGAAACAACTAAAATAAAGGGTTAGAATATTATAGTAAAATTGTATAAATCGTGTATAATGACATTGAAGGGATCAGGAAAAATATGTCCAAATAACCGATAGTCATGTTATCCGAAATTAAATCCGACATGTCGCCACAAAAAGTGTCATTATAAAGGATTACTATTGCATGTAGGTATTATTGATGTTAAAATAAATTAAATTAGACTATATTAAAGTTCAGTCATCTCTTATTTTTAAAATAACTTTCGATTTCTCAGTATAGTCGCATAGGCATTATAAATTGAACAATATTATAGGGTGATGTTTAAAGTATAATGTATACTATTGTGTGATCATACAATAATTGTATTAATTATTAATCTTTATGAAGTTTAACCATCGTTTAACCGCAGAGTTTCTTAGGCTAACGCTGAGTACCTATAACATTATGTTTTATGCACTTATAGGCATACATCGTTTTCGGGATGTGGGATAAAGCTAATAATGATTTATTTTCTGCTTAGCTTAAAGTTTAAAGTTTACAAGCTTTAAATTATACTTTATTCTCAAATAGTGTATACCTAATATTATGTACTACAAAGTGCTGCAGACTGCAGTAGGTGCAATTAACATTTATTAACTAAAATCACCGTCGCGTGTTAATGTAATTAATAGATCTGATTATCATGGGATATACTGTGAGCCAGTGTGGGGCCATATTATTTTAACGTAAATTGGTAAATTAGTAATAACTAATAAGTACAAAAAAAAAAAAAAAATATTGCAGTGTATAAGCCGAAACATGTACAACTTATAGTAATTTATTAGTCAATCCTAATTTATAGATATCAAATATCAAAATAATAGATTGTGGATGTAACACCTTCAATTCCACGGTCGACGGGTAGTCGACATCTATATAACATTGCTCTGGGCGCCGGTGTCGACTACCCGTCCACAAGTATAGTGTTCACTTTGATGGTTCATAATTTTGACTAGCGATGAGTTAACGTTTTCAATTATATTGTAGGCGATCGTCTACTGTCTCAAGAATCTAATGATATAATTGGTTTTTATTTGTGTTTACTTTTAGTGGGTGTATTTGCTTTTTCCCCGAAATGACGATGTCTTCAATAACAATAACATACCATAAATGCTAAATTTTTTTTCTCTTTATTGATTAAGCATCAACCACACAGGTTATTAGCTTACAAGTGTTCATTTTAACATTACAAATTATATACTGTTATACAAATTGAATTTTTTTTAATATGAAATTATGTTTCAGTATTTCGAGAATGGATCAATTATGCATCATACAAGCTGTACGTGATGTTGAAGTCTCTTCTGGATTCATTGAAGTTGGGGCAGTGGATGATTATATGCTTGATAGAGTAGTTTGTATTGCATGTTGGGCATAGGGGTGGATCTGCCTTTGCCATAAGAATATAAGATGTCCGTGGGTGAGTTTCGTGTAACCAATTCTGAGTCGATTAAAAATTACCTCATTTTTTCTCTTTAGATCAGTGTATTTCGGCCAGAGTTCAACAGAGTGCTTAATTTATTTTAATTTATTTTCAGTGGTCGTGTGCCAAAATGAGTTCCACAGATCTATACAATATTTGTTTACATTTCTTATTTTATCTACGAGTGAAGAAAAAGGAATGATTTCACTGTCTGGATTATTGATTGCATTTCTAGCAGCTTCACCTACCTTCTCACTAAATTATTGTTGTTAAGTCTGGATATAATTAATTTAATAACATTAATACATTTAAAACTTTTAACGTAACATATTTTCTGATGTATACAGAGTGTTCCTTCAATAAACAGAGTGATTGAAGAATATAAAATATTTTCATCAATAATTATTGAATTTATTTTTAACTTTTATTTTATTTACGATTATTTCTCCTGCTGGTGGTAATTCTTATTGGTGAGCGAACCAGTGCGTATGCCAGAATAACTATTGTACCACGAAAAATTAGATACAGAGGATATATACAGTTTGCCGAGCGAGAGTCGTCGGTTTCCACGCATAGTCGACCAGACGTATTTTCGGCACTGCAACACGGGCTACGCGCTCCGATAATAGCTACGGAGCTCAGCGTGTTTAGGTAGGTAATTACCAATCCACCTTTATACGTTATAGTTTTATAGTTTTACCTCATAAGTTATAATATTGTATAGTACCTATATGATGACAATAGTGAGAATAGTCATTTGATTATTAATGCAGTAAAATCTATTTTTAAGAAGTACATTTTCCTTGCCATCACCAGCTTTACAGTGAAAAAATGTGTTTGATTACCAGTCGGTCACAAATTTGTTAATACCTGTCACTGATGAAACATATTTAAACATTTTATAGAGTGAGGCCTGAAGCCACCACGTCCACCTGTATTTCTGTTCGTTATAAAGTACAGAAAAACAAAGTAAACACAATGGACCTGCACTATGTACTCTGTGGACATATACTCTATATTATACTATCGTAGGTAGAAGAGTGCTCAGGCATTTTGAATGGAGGGGAGGGCTTTAACTTTTTTCAATATAATAAAATCCATATACGTAATGAATTAAAATTATAATAAGATGTAAGAAGTAAGTACCCTCTCCCCTCCCCCTGAGCACGTCCCTGATCTTAGGTATTCGGATTCGGACCGATCTGTCTCACTTGCGGGGATGGTCGGTGACTTCGAATGGCGGCCGTCGGTTCAGCAAGCCGCATCTCGATATTCGTATCTCTTTGGTGGGCCTGCCCAGATGGTCAGTTAGCTGCTGTTCGATGGCGTGTATGACTTCCTGTCCTTCGATCACGATGCCAAACATTACGTGCTCGCCATTCAGGCTCGGCGTGGATCTGGTCGTTATGAAAAACTGACATCCGTTCGTGTCTGGACCTGCGCCGAAGAGGAAAAAATCTGTCACTCGACTACAAATATGAGTATATGACGTGTACAAGGGAATTGATTTGTTACAACTGTTACAAGGGACAAGGGCCCATCGATTCACGCTGATGAGTTTGCTAACATTTGATTGATTCTGAATAGTAATATTTCAAATCCCTTGAGGTAGATTGTCTAGTAACGTAACGAAAGTAACAAGTTATGACACAGTAATGTATAGCTACGTTACTTTGTTTGTGTATAATATGTTTTCCAATCAATGAAAATGTAATGGAAATTATTTTTGATTATTTCACGAAACACGACTAAACACCTTAAACTCAATAGTCCCACAGTCCTTCCCTTATCCTCTCGACGAATAATAATAGGCTGCAATCGAATGCAATGCAAGATAAAACTAATGAAGTTATGAGTTTATGACCAATGGTTTTTTTTTCCAGTTACTAAATATTTTGCAGCCCGTTGGTCCAAACTTGTTGGTCCACCCCGTGTGTACTTTATAGAGGCATGACTCTGTCATGTACGCCGTATAGTATTTATGCATATTATGTATTAGTTATTGTTATTAATTATATAATATTTTCGAATCACCCACCAGAATTGGCCATTCCCACAAATCCCGGTTTTGTGCCGTTCACTTTTAGATTTTCGTCTGGAAAAGTTTCGCCGTATATGCTTACGGACCCGCTTCCATCGTTATTCAATATATCTCCACCTGTGGACAATACATCATATGATATTAGCCATATACTTATAAAGTGAATACGCATCGTATATATTTATTTATTCGGATGGTTTTTTAAATTTCAAATAATCAATAATTTGTTAAAAAATAAATTCGTAAGAAATTGCCAACACATGAATCAATCATTTATTCATAAATAATACATTATAATAATATAACAACAATTATTTATAGGTATACCATAATACAATTTCTTATTGCATAATATGTTTAAACATTTTTTGTGCTCACAAAAATGTACTGTAGTCTGTTTTGCAAATATAGCAATACGCGTGTATTAAAAAGTCTGTAGTGTACGGTTACCACCAACTTAGACATGTCATTATTTTAACAGTATTATTATAGCCAATGTTAAATGCGTATAATAAAAAGGATTTAATGAAAACCTTTAAGTATTTTGTATTGATTTTTTTATACAAACAAATGAGTATATCATACAAATTATAGGGTTAAATAGTGTTATTGATTTTAAATTACCTGTGAAATATTTTAATTCGACTTATTAATTTATACTACACAGAATATATTTTTGTTGAAAGTATATTAAATATGTTTATACTTCATAGTAATTTACGATGTATCCACGTACTAGTAGTATATAAGCCACGATAGCGGATTAGATACCTATACCTAACACCTAAATAGAAAATTCACAATACTTTTCAAAATGATCAGGAAAAATAGAATATTTAAGCAATACCAGTTTTCAAAAAGAAATGTTTTTAAAGACTTGAAATATATTTCAAACATTTCTATTAACGTCTCATAGACCTGGTATAATTTTCAAAATATTTTTTGAAATTTGAAATGTTTTATTATTATTATTATTATTATTATTATTATTGTTATTTCTTTAAGTGTTGATTAAAAATTATGCGATCAGCTAAACAGTTTTAAAATGTAATATAAAGTTTCTCATAAGTTATTTTTATTGGAATTAAAAAAAAAATTGAGCATAAATCCGCAACAGTTTACAAAAAAAGTGTTTTTGAAATAAACTTAGATTTATAGGCTCACTAAAAGTTTCATCAAAATTGTTGTTCGTATGCGATGGCCAACTATTTATCATCAAAGTCAAATTTATCTCATACATTACACTATAACAGGGAGTTACTCAATGATGAGGTACCTACACTCGACACCGATACTGTTAGAGCTGGCCTACAGTAGACCTACTTTCTCCCTTTTTAAAACTCCAGTGGATTGAATTTTTTTTCTCAATTTATTTTATTGATATTCAAACAATATCAATCAGAGAGATTTAAAGCTTTTTACCGTCTCGTACATTGTATTATTTTCTATGCTCTATAATATTTTTTTTCATGTATCAATAATGATATAAATATCTTAAAAAATAGAAGTTGACACATCGTCACTGCTCAGAAACATTGAATACTCATATCATCAATGAATTTAAGTTTAACACATACATAACAGTAACTTCTAAACTTCTTACACACCGGGCAGTGGACACGAATTTCTCGGTTTTTTAAAGTTATAATTATAACATAATTATTTTTAAATATAGATTTCTGTATAAAAATAAATAAAAATAAGCATGGTAAACTTACGGTACTAGAACTATTTGGTATCAAACAGATTTGAGAATGCCTTGCGGCTACATCTTCATCTGTATTCATATTTTACTTGTCTATAGAAACTTTTTGTTATATACCAAACCGATCGAAATGAACTGAATCAATAAAATATTTTACGGAATATTAAGATATATATTATATTTTTTAAACTACAGTTAAGGTACTTCTAAAATCATGGTAAGTTGGTAATTAAATTTAATAACGATTGTAAATTTGAACCGTATGCCTACTAAAGTTTTAAAAGTTCAATAAGAATTTTTCACATATTAAAATTTTAGTTAGATGGTTTTTCCAATTGAGAATTTCGAAAAATTACCTCTCTAAAGTACAAATCTGAGACATTTTTTGATGTTAAGATGAGAGGTATAGATACATTTTTATTTCAGTTTATCTACTGCAGTCTTTCTCAAAGAGGTCGATGGCGCCCTCCCTCCCCCGTAGTCGTTGGTAGCCTCCAGGGGAGGGGGGGGTATAAGACCCTGAGGAATTTTAATTAATCACTGGTAATAGAATGCTGTCTATTGGATTGTGACGAAATAAATATTGACTAGCCATTTTTTTTTATATTTCCTTTTAACGCTCTAACACTATTTTATAAAATCCTTAAAAAGGCCTTTAGAAGGATCTAACACACACACATCCGACATACCCTTGAATACATCTCTAAGTCTACAGAAGATAAGTTTAAAATATTTTGGGGCGCTCTAGAAAGTTATTGATTCTCAAAGTGGGAGGTGTATAAAATAAGCTTAAGAACCGGAAAAAACGTGTACACAGAATAAAAAAATAATAAATAAATATAATTTTGAAATCAATATATGTCTCACACTCAGATCTAAATTATAATTTAATATAATGGACGATTTGATGTAAATTAAATTTAGGCATTTAAAATAGGTCCTTATTATTATTTTATTTTTTTGGAGATTATTTGGGAGTGACATGTCCCCTCTCCCCTGTAATCTACACTTTTGAGTACCAATATTAGGTCATATACCTTTAATAAAATATCGTATTGGTATGTAAAATTTTATAAATTAATATTTCGAATTCCAGTTGGAACATACTATAAATGTATTGGACTCAGGGTCAGGAACCCGCAAAAACCGAAGCGATTTTATAAATGACGGCGTTAAACACGCTTCGGCAATATAATTTATATCAAGGAATGCGCATTTTATAAACGATAGACATTGCCGGAAATCTCAATTTACCGTTTCGAGATTATTTCACAAATGTATGAGTAGTATATTGTAGACATATATAATATTAATACCTACGTATGCGTCATAGATATATAATAATATGATTATTATGTTCACTGCAAATACCTATTATATATCTGTTGCCACGAAATAATCGATCGAAAAGAGATAAAACGAGACGGAAAATAAAAAGGAAACCGATATTCGTTTCGAAAAAGATTCAGAGGCGTATTCGCATTATTATTATTACTATTACTAGCTATAACTACTTTTTCCCCAGATATTATTAAAAAAAAATAATGTATTCCTATTGCGATCGGACGGATTCGATTTAAATCGTTTTATTATGTCTCGCACTCTCGCTGCGTTTACACGCGCCCGATTGTCGTATACGATAATCGCTAGACGGTCCGGTTGTACGTATAATGTGATACGCGCGCATAATAATATTATTTCAGTATAATAATATGTATTATAAAAAATGAACATATTTATATAGGTACGTGTACATAGAGGGTACTCGAGCGTACGTATCGTATACAATATCAATTCGATATAACGTCGCACGAAATATAATAATAGTAGTATACTATATATCATACGAGGTTATTCAAAATGATTAATCTGCCATCTCAAATGGTTATATAAAATTGTGGTTTTAAATTTTAGTATCATAGGTGTGCGCACGAGGCGAGCCTGTCGAGCCCATGATCGACCTGAAAATTTTTAAGGGAATGGTAAAATTTGAGTACCTGAATATTTTATTGTAATAATGCATATAATAGTATAATATTATGTTCGTGGGGATCGTGGACATTTTGTTCATCGTGAAAGTGTAATAAAATCAAAAAAAGAAGGTAAGTGGATGGATGTCGGCTCTGCTGTACAGTGGGTTGCAAGTGGTTCACTGTAATGGATGGTGTTGAATTTGAATTCAATGATACGAAATCATTGCATAAGAAAAAAGATTCTGAGCGAAGCCTGAAATATTACTTATTAGTAATTTAATATATTTGATAATATTATTGTGATTTAATAAGGTTAAATTAAGTTTGTGTGTGTGTGTGTGTGTCTGAAATATTACTTATTAGTAATTTAATATATTTGATAATATTATTGTGATTTAATAAGGTTAAATTAAGTTTAATAAAGTAATTTATTTTAATATTAAACATTAGTACCTACTACAGTAGATAAAATTCATTTTCATTTTTGTTAACAAAAAAAAAAATACATTTGAAAAGTCATTGTGTGTATAAAATATAATAATATACTCTAAAAGTTTCAAGTAGGTACTCACAAATAATATTTTTCAATTACAACAAAATAACTTAAATCATTATTCTCGGTTATTTACTATGTAATTTCGTCCACATTAAAAGAGCTATAAAAAAACTTCGATTATATAATTTTAGATTTCTTGGTTACAGAATAACCTACTAACGGGGAACCTTGTTTTAAATGTTCAAAATTTGTCAAAATTTGAACTTTGAATGCTTATAAAAAAAAATCAAGACTGTATTTTTAATATTTTTTAAACTTATATTGTAACAATATATAAAGATTCTTGTATTAAATGTTCATGCTTTTTGACCCAACCAAATTTTATCTCGTACATGAATTAATAATATTAACATATTTGGTGTAAATTTCAAGTATCATCTACAGTTATTCGTTTTTGAATTACCTACAGCAAAGTAAGAAAATCTCTATATGAGAAATATCCATTTCACTCCAAAGTGAATATCCAATAATGTAAAAATATCAACTTCAAACACTCATAAAAGTTCAATTTAACTTTTCGGTAGAATTTTTTTTTTTCGATAAAGGTAGACAAACTTATAAGAAATCTTGTATAGAATTTAAAAATCTTAGATATAAGAAAAACTTTTATGAATTTCTAACTCCAAATAATTTTCAATTTTTCGTGATTATTATGAATTTTGTCAAAATTCTAAATTCAAACGCTCATAAAAAACGTGTGAACTTACGCACAACTTTTTTTTTAATTTCCACTAAAAACTACTTACGAGAAACCTTGTATTACATTTTCAAGTTTTTGATAGAGTAAACCTTTTTTTATCGACATTAATTTAAAAAAAACTAATAATAATCGAAAACTTTATTTGCTTATAATAATAGTTTAACACAAGTCAAAATATTTTGA